GGGGGCACCAGGAGCCTGGCAGGGACCCCGGGGCCGTGCTGGTGGGTGCCGAGGTGCTGCATGCGTGGGTGCTGGCGTGGCCGCACCGGGGCCGCTCTCCAGGGGTCTGCAGCGTGGCCTCACCCGTTGCCATCCACCCCAGGGATGTCACCCGACATCTCCCGTCTTGTCCCCTCCCAGGGCTCTGGAGTGGCATGGCCAGGGCCATTGGGTCCCCAGTGTCCCCATCCTTTCCCTGGGGTCCCCTCCCAGGTGTGGGGCCACGGCACCTACAGCAGTGGGACAGACTCTGGGATCTGTAGTGGTTTTGGTTTTTTAATCGCGGTAGCGGCTATAAAGAGACTCACAGTGGAGACGGTCCTGGCTCCGGTGCCCACCTGGGCAGGGGGTGCCAGGCTGTGCCACAGGCACCTGGGCGATGCCACAGGGTGCCAGGGCGATTCCTGGGTGACACTTGCCCAGGGATGCCGTGCCCCAGGAGGGGTCCAGGCTGTGCCCTGTACCCGGGCGATGCCAGGCCACCTTGGGGTGCAGGGAAGTGGTACCAGGCTGCAGCACCCTGGGGTCCTGCCATGCCCCACCCTGGGCAGGGGGATGGGACTGGAGATGGGTGACATTCCCAGGGTGGGGACCGCACTGCCGGATGCCTGGGTCCTTGACCGTCCCCATTGGGGCACCCAAGGCGGAGCTGGCAGAGGGCGATTTCTCCCTGCCCAAGCAGTGCCCCCAGGTCAGGGTCACCCCTTCCTGCAGTGCTTTGTTATTGTAGGGCCTCCCCAAAGCAGGGCCTGGTTATTGTCAGCTCTCTCTAGAGTGGGTTCTAGGGCCTTGTTATTGTAGGGTCTCCTTGGAGCAGGTCCCACTGGCTTGGTATGGTAGTGTCTCCCCGAAGCAGGCTTGGGCTTTGTTATTGTAGGGTCTTCCTAGAGTGGGTCCTGCTGGTCTGTCATTGTAGGGTCTTCTTGGAGCAGGACCCAGTGGTTTTTTATTGCAGGGTCTCCCCAAAGTGGGCCCAGTAGCTTGTTATTGTAGGGTCTCCCTGGAGTGGGTTCTGCTGGCTTGTTATTGTAGGGTCTCCCTGGAGTGGGTCCTGGTGAGCTGTTATTGTAGGGTCTCCTTGAAGCAGATCCCACTGGCTTGTTATTGTAGGGTCTCCCTGGAGTGGGTTCTGCTGGCTTGTTATTGTAGGGTCTCCCTGGAGTGGGTTCTGCTGGCTTGTTATTGTAGGGTCTCCCTGGAGTGGGTTCTGCTGGCTTGTTATTGTAGGGTCTCCCTGGAGTGGGTTCTGCTGGCTTGTTATTGTAGGGTCTCCCTGGAGTGGGTTCTGCTGGCTTGTTATTGTAGGGTCTCCCTGGAGTGGGTTCTGCTGGCTTGTTATTGTAGGGTCTCCCTGGAGTGGGTTCTGCTGGCTTGTTATTGTAGGGTCTCCCTGGAGTGGGTTCTGCTGGCTTGTTATTGTAGGGTCTCCCTGGAGTGGGTTCTGCTGGCTTGTTATTGTAGGGTCTCCCTGGAGTGGGTTCTGCTGGCTTGTTATTGTAGGGTCTCCCTGGAGTGGGTTCTGCTGGCTTGTTATTGTAGGGTCTCCCTGGAGTGGGTTCTGCTGGCTTGTTATTGTAGGGTCTCCCTGGAGTGGGTTCTGCTGGCTTGTTATTGTAGGGTCTCCCTGGAGTGGGTTCTGCTGGCTTGTTATTGTAGGGTCTCCCTGGAGTGGGTTCTGCTGGCTTGTTATTGTAGGGTCTCCCTGGAGTGGGTTCTGCTGGCTTGTTATTGTAGGGTCTCCCTGGAGTGGGTCCTGGTGGCTTGTTATTGTAGGGTCTCCCTGGAGTGGGTCCTGCTGGCTTGTTATTGTAGGGTCTCCCTGGAGTGGGTCCTGGTGAGCTGTTATTGTAGGGTCTCCTTGAAGCAGATCCCACTGGCTTGTTATTGTAGGGTCTCCCTGGAGTGGGTCCTGGTGGCTTGTTATTGTAGGGTCTCCCTGGAGTGGGTCCTGCTGGTTTGTTATTGTAGGGCCTCCCCAAAGTAGGTCCCCATGGTTTGTTACTGGGTCCCCCCAAAGCAGATCCTGGTGGCTTGTTATTGTAGAATCTCCCTGAAGCAGCTCCCAGAAACAGCACATGGGTGCCGGGATGGGCACCGCCACACTGGGCCACCCCACGGTGCCCATGTGAGGCTTGATGTCTTCATGGTGCCTACCCAGTAAGGTGGCCCAGGGCCACATGTCTCTATGGTGCCCACCCAGCATGGTGTCCAGGGTCATATGGCCCTGTGATGCCCATCCAGGGCTCTGTGTCTCCATGGTGTCCACCCAGCACAGTACCCAGGCCCATATATCTCTGTGGTGGCCATCCAGGACTCTCTGTCCCCACCATGCCCATCCAGCACAGTGCCTGTGGCCATATGTCCCCATGGTGGCCATCCAGGGCTCCACATCCCCACTGTACCCACCCAGCATGGTGCCCCAGGCCATATGTCCCCATGGTGGCCATCCAGGGCTCTATGTCCCCAATGTGCCCCCCCAGCATGGTGCCCAGAGCCGTATGTCCCCATGGTGGGTGTCCAGGGCTCTACGTCCCCACCGTGCCCACCCAGCACAATGCCCAGAGCCATACATCCCCATGGTGACCATCCAGGCCTCGACAATCCCATTGTGCCCACCCAGCATGGTGCCCAGGGCCACATGTCCCTGTGGTGGCCATCTAGGGCTCTGT